CTTCTTCTATTTGTCTCCCACTCAAAAATTTCTATTTCGTTAATTCATTTTTATACTTTTTTGGTGGACGGTTAATTTATGTAGCCCATTGGCAATTGGGCCCACACTAACGGGGTGTTTGGAAATTCTATTGTTTTGGACTTGTAAATCTCAAAATATTTTGCATTGCAATTTAAAAAATTTTTAATTTTTGTGGTATTTAGAATCTCAAGTGTATTACGTCTTTGAAATTTATGATTTAAATATTTTTAAAAACTGTAAATTATAATTTTAAGAATCCAAGAGTTTTCTTCTCAAATAAAAAATATAAGGTCTTTCTATAAATGTTTAAAAATATTTATAAATGTTTTACTTCCCCAAATGGATTTGCGGTTGAATTGAACTTCTCTTCAACACTGACTAGCCAATGCTGCTCCTTATTGAGCCTCTAGGAATAAGAATCCAACTGGTGCAATGAAAAATGCGATGCCATCCGAGTGAGGGTCCTAGATTGAGAGTTTATGACCGAGGAATGGTGGAGTCTTAAAATCTATCGAGAAAATGTATTAACTGGATTTGAATAGACTCGCACGGGTGTTGTACACTTTTTAAAGAAGATATCTCATTGCATAGGTATCAATATGATAACACCAGTGCATGTCAGTTAGTATTTGTTGATAGACAAATTCATTGAAATATCTCTGTTTGAGAATTTTATTCGGCCTAGATGCTGCACCTTGACAAAAGGTATGCCTTTTCTTTTAGCTTTTAATTTTATAAAAAACGTTGTAGACAAGAAAACGCAAGTTTTATCTTATTTATGCATTTTAGTAAGATGAAAATCTTAAAGAAGATACAATTGCATAGTCCAAAGTAAGACTACAGCCAATAGTTTCTTATAAATGTCAGGGGAGAAATCTAGTTGATTACGTCACCCAAAAAAATTTAAAACTAGCGGCTGACCATTTCCAAAGGGTTGCTTAAAAAAATAAAATTTCTGCATTCTTCTTATTCCTTTTATTTTTTTTTTCTAATTTTCAAGTGCATTTGGCTACTAATTTGGTTACAATAGTTGTTCTGCACCTTTCGTGTTTGAAATGATTGATAGAAAGAAATTTCTGCTCTATAAATTATAAGAAAAAAGCTGGCTACTTCAACTATTGTATATTTTTCAAAAAAAATTTGGTTGATATGAACTGAAAGTGCTAGCTTGAATTAATTTTTGAGTCATAAGACTTGACTCAAATACAAAGCTCTCTAAGAGTACAGTTTTTAGCTTATAGCCAGTCCACAATGAATTCAAACAGAGCCAAAGCTCAGCCTATGAGTTTGGCTTTTTCTTATTTTCATTACATTAAATTGTTTTGGCATACAAAAGTGATGTAGACGGAGAAGAAGCAGCAGAAGAATTCGTATCGTAACTATAGCTAGAAGACTGGTTTGGCCTTGGCTGCTCTCTGGAGCATTCCGTGGAGATAGGTATGTTGGGATGGGCATTGTTATTGGCAATTGGGTAGTGGAGCCTCAAAATTAAGCACCTGAATTGCCTGCCTGATTGAGGGCCTCAGATTGTGGTCTGGGTGAGCACACCAGAGCCCAACAACCATCAATTGCTCCATTTCTTGCTCCTCAAACTGCTCACAGAGCCTCAGGTCCACAGCTTCGAGAACCTTCCTTCTCCCATATAGCTCCCACACCCACTCCACCATCCTGATCTTACTCTCTTCCATCCTTATATCGATGGGTTTTCTCCCACAGGCTATTTCAAGTGCTACTACTCCCAAAACTATACACATCTGATTCTTTACTAGCTTTGCCTGTGACTACACATTCTGGAGCCATGTACCCCATTGTTCCCGCCAGAACCGTTGTTTGAGACCCCTTTTCATGATCAACAAGTCTAGCCAACCCAAAATCACCAAGTTTAGCATTGAAGTTTGAATCTAGCAGGACATTGCTTGACTTTATATCTCTATGAACCACACATTGTTCCCATTCTTCATGTAGATAGAGCAGAGCTGAGGCTAAACCTTGTGCAATTTTATACCTAGTGGTCCAATTCAAGAGGGTTTTCTTCTCTTTAAAGAGATGGGTATCTAGACTTCCATTTTCCATGAACTCATAGACAAGGAGGAGTTTCTCTCTTTTCATGGCACCACCCAATAAGTTGCACCAAGTTCCTGTGCCTCAGGCGGCTGTTGATTTTTACTTCTGATGCGTATTCCTTTATCCCTTGCTACGACCCTTTTGAGATCCTCTTCACAGCAACATAGGAGTTGAGTTCCCTTGAGAAGCCTTTGTACACCCCTCCAAAGCACCCTCTCCAAGCTTGTATTCTTCTGCGAAATTACTAGTTGACCGAGATAGTTGATTGTAGGAGAACTTTCCTTGGCCCCTACCCATCTCAAATTCATTGTCCATGGCCAGATCAAAACCAGAATTTACCTCTTCTTTTCCTCTTCTCTTCTTCCACAAGCCAAATCCGATCACACCCACCGAAGAACACAATCCACCAGTCAACCCCACTGCAAGAGCCCATTTATTCTTCTTCCGTCTCTTCTTTCCGGGCAATGAAGGTGGAGGAGATCCTGGATTTTCGTCAATTTGCAAGCTAGAATTGAACTGCCATGACTTGACATTATTTTTCTCGAAACCAGTTCCTGTTGAAGCTGAAAAACCAAACTCAACCCATTCTGGCAAGTAACTTAGATCAACTAGTAAATGGAGGCTTCCTTCAACTCTAGTATTATTTCTAGAACCGGTGAAGATAACAGTCAAGTTCTTGGAACCAGAATCATAATTGATCCAAGCCTCATTCTCTATCCCATGAGGTATATCATTATACCAAACTGCAGTAGCATTAGATGTAAGAGAGTTGATATTAATACCACCATGGGTAACAGGATTGATGTCCTGGGGGTCCCAACTGTTTTGAAATGTATCAAACTCCACAGCAAAAAAAGAGCTTGTGGCTGTTATGTTCCTAGGGTCAGGATCAATGGGAAGCCCCATGGCACCTCCAACAGTTAAATTAGCACCCTCGGGAGCCAAGAAGAAGGCAAGCCCATCTGCAAAAAATGAACTACTCGTCGAATCAATTACAAACACGAAGTAGGTGGTGAAGTTCGTGAGATTTCCCGAGGCCTTGTCCCAGAGGTGGAGTAGATGAGTGTACACGGCCTTACCCGCCCTCTGCTGCAAGTTGCTGCCCCGCTCGTCGTTTGTGACCTGGATGCCCTGGAGGGAGATATAAGCATCTGCGTAGGTTTTGACGTGCACGTTCTGGTCTTGTGGGCCTATGTTGATGAGATTGAAGCCCAGAGCAGAGGACGGATGAATTGTGTGAAGAAAGTAAAATGTCATCATGAGGAGAGAAAATAGTAGAAGGTGCGAAAAGGGATTTTCAATCCAAAGGCCCCGAGTCCCATAGCTGTGAGCAAATTCATGACCTGAGAGAACAGAGCTTTGTTTTTAAATAGGCCACGGTTGCTGAATTGGTCTTTGGTAAATGTTCAACAATAAGAAGTTTTCTTTGGCGCAGGTGATCGTCCATCACATGAAGTCTAAAGTCAACGAAGAAATAGTATTTTTAGTAAATGGTTTTCATAGTTGAAGCCACATTGCGTCTTTATTTTCTACAGAATGGTATTGTCTAGTTGCCAATTAGCCGTTTCAATAATTTTTTATAATTTTTGAAAATTGTAAATTTTATTTTTTCATGGGAAGAAGAGATATAAAGCAAGATTCAAATTTCTAATCTAACAAAAACCTTTGAGGAGCACTTAATTAATATTAATATTTTATTTATTTTCAATTATAATGATAAATTATGATCTTAAAACTCCATATTAACCTTCAGATAAGGAAAAAGAAATTTTTAAGGAAATAAGCATTTAAATATATATATAGTATGAGTTCAGATCGACTTGTCATCCCGTGTCGTGTGCAATGTGAATCCACTTGCAGATTACCTTCCATTAAAAAATTAAGTAACAAACTACTTTTCAAGTTCATTTGTCATTTATTTTTCTATATAAAGTGAATTTAAATAAAATAATTTATAAAAAGTAAATTAAGAAAGTGAATTTAAATAAAATGAATTTTTAAAAAATATAAATTTGAGAGAAATGGGTTTAAATAAAATAAATTTTGAATAAATTGAGGTTAGATAAAATATTTTTTTAGAAAAGGTGAATTTGTAAAAATGAGTTTAGATAAAAAAAACATTGAGAATATTAAATTTAGATAAATTTGTTTTCTTATTTAATTATATATGGTGATGAAAGTCGCTTATAAATTTTTTAATTATTTACTCTTACTAAATCCTTTTTAAGAGTTTAATTAAACCTCTCGGCTTTTGAATAATTTATGGGTGGGTTCAGACTTGGTCGAGCTCAAATCCACCTTTCGCCACTCTCTTGTCAACCTTCCGGCCGGCTCAGACAATCCTTAATTATTTTGGCAACTAAAGAATTATTTCCAGAAAGCATAACAAACCCTATGCAATGTTCTTCTTTTCTTTTGTTTTTGCATGTTTATTGGTACAACAAAATTAAGGAGAAAAAAAATAAAGAATAATTTCAACAATGTTACAAATAACACTTGAGTATTTAATATCTTGCTATAAAATATATTTTCTAAACTGAAGAGTTGTAATTAGAATAACATCTCCGCCGTCCCACGTGGACTAAAAATCAGGAACTTTTGCCATTGAAAAACAAGAATATTTTATCAGAGAAAAAAAATTAACAATCAACCCAGTAGGATTATATAAAAGAAAAATGCTTACAAGATATAATAATATACAATGAAAGTAATACAAATTTGAACAAATCTAAGTTGAGTGAAAATTATTTGAAATATATCACAACAAGAGAAAATTCTTTAGGATTTTGTCAAAATGAAATGATAACATGTTTATAAAGATCTGATGCAATTACAAATAAAAAAATAATTAGTTTGAAAAAGATGAAAAGGAAGTTGAGTAATATAAAAGTGTCTAAAAACTCACTATAAAAATAGAAATTTTATATAAATAAAAGGTTTCGCTTGTATATAATATTATTTTTATTATTTTAATAAAACATTTTCTTAAAATTATTTATTATGATAAGCTTTTTTGGGTCTTTAAAAGTCAATTCGTGATAAATTGATTATACAAAAAAGGTCAGTTCACCAACAATTAATTTTCAAATAATTGGACTAATAAGTCAATCACCCTAACAATTATTACATAATATCATATATTAATTTTAATATTTATTTAATAAATATTATAATTTTCTAATCTAGTGAATCAAAATTCAATATCAAATAAATTCAGTATTTAAGTGAATCAAGTATTTGACTAAATCTAGATTATACATAATTAAGGATTAGGTCACACATAAAAATGATGGTTATAAAATATGTCTCTATAATTTATTTTTAAATATTTTGAGACATAAAATCTATTCAAAAATGATATTTATTAGATTTATATAAACTCACACAGATAATACACACTTTTTTAAAAATATTCCTCATTTTTTGAGAATTAGTATGGTGACATTAGTATATATGAATAGGTGCTTGGTAGAGAAGAACACTACAAGAAAATAAGATTTCAATGACAGAATTGTCCGTCACTAATTACTGACGGATTAGTGACGGATCACGAACAAATTTACCAACTGATTACCAATCCATCCCTAAATCAGCGACGAACACCAATCCATTGATAATCCATTGCTGATTCAGTGATGGACAAACTTTATGTTTGTAAATTCGTCGCTAAATTAGCAACGAAAATCAATTTGTCAGTAATTCATTGCTAATTCAATGACGGACAAACTTTTTGTCAGTAAATCTGTCGCTAAATCAACGACAGAAACCAATTCGTCGATAATCTATCACTGATTCAGCAATGGACAAACTTCCATCAGTAAATCCATCGCTAATTCAGCGACGAAAACCAATCTGTTAGTAATCCATCGCTAATTCAGCGATGGACAAACTTTCCGTCAGTAATCTGTTGCGATTCAGCGATGGACAAATTTTCGTTGGTAATCTATCACTGATTCAGTGATGGAACACTAATTAGTTGGTAATCTGTCATTGATTTAGTGACGAACATAAGTTCTGTCAGTAATTGGTTGTTAAATTAGCAACGGAGCACCAATCCGTCGCTAAATTAGTGATGGACCATCAATCCATCGGTAAATTTCTTGCTAAATTAGCGACGAACTGCAAATCCGTCGGTAATTTAGCGACAGATCACAAATCCGTCAGTAAATTCATTGCTAATTTAGTGACGGATTGGTGCCCATTGGTAAATCCATCGGTAATTTAGCGACGGACAATCAATCTGTTGCTAAATTAGGGACAAACCACCAACCCAACAAATTTAGTGACGAAACACTAATCGTTGGTAAATTTGTCTCTAATTTAACGATGAACATAAGTTTTGTTGATAATTCGTTGCTAATTTAGTAACAGAACCAAGCATTTTGTTGGTAATTCATCATTAATTTAACAATGGAACATATTTTCTATTGCTAATTTAGTGATAAGACTGTTTTCCATTGGTAATTTGTCGAACACTAGGGAGAATGCCTAGATTAACTGAATATGCTGCAATTAATCAGTTTTCTTAGAAAGTAAAGTCAAGTGTAAAGTCTAGAATGAAACCTCCAATAATTTGTTGGGTTATGCAAAATTGACCCATTGTCATTATGGATCAGGCTTAGATGAGAACAAAGTCAAGTGTTACGTCTAGAATGAGGCAGTCGTAGATGTATACAATATATCATGTTGCTTACAAAAAGTTGACCCATTGCCATTATGAATCAAACTTGGACGAGTTTGGGTCTTGACATTACCACGCAAAAGTGAAGATAGATAATATTGAAAACTTTCCAAAATAAAAATATAAAAGGGTAAGAGTAAAGATATATATATATATATATATATATATAAGAAGGAATCAATTAAAAACAAATGTAAGTATAAAAACTTATATCACATCTTACACTGTTAATTTGGTTAAAATCAATGGTGTAAATTAATTACAGCTGATTTAAATGCAAATTAATTATTGGAAGTTAGTGGAAGACAGCTGTAATTAATTTACACAGTTGATTTTGACCAAATCAACGGTGTAAGATGTGGTGTAAGTATTTTATATTTATACCTGGTATTAATTGATCTCTTATATATATATATATATATATGAAAATATTAAATAGTTTTTTATAAATTGAGTTACTAATAAATTTAGATATGTTAAAAAATAAGAATAATAAATAAACTAATATTTAAATAGTTTATTTTAAAAATAATTTAAACATAATTAAATAAAGAAGAAAGTTAAATTTTGAAATAAATATAACAAAGTCATAGCACTTTATTTTTACCTTTTTTTTATTTGCAAATAAATTTGAAAGTCCAAAACTCGCGGGAAAATGAAATCCAGCCTGGATAATATTCACATATTAATTTAATAATATTTAATATATATTTATCATGTGCAACCTAAAAAAAATATCTAGGTATGAGTGAACCAAATTAATTTAATAATATTGAATATATACACTCTTGACTCTAGTTACAGATGACAATTGGATCGAGACTCGATAAGTACTTGAGAAAATTATCTGGAAGGATCTGAGTTTGGATATTATTAAATGATCTAGGTCCGAGTCTAGATAATTAAATAAGTATTTGGATAAGTTCGAGTCCAGATTTAACTACTAGAATACCCACCCCACCCCAAACCCCCGTGTTATATATATATATATATATATATGTATGTATGTATAATTATTTATTGTAATTTTGTTTTTTCTTTGTATTGTAACTTTAAGCTGATTCATTTATATTGAGTCCCTGAACATTTTCTTCGTATTTAACTGAGTGAGTCTGGGTGTTTAAATATTTCAAGTCAATCATAATGCAATAGAAAAAACCCATGTACAGAGAGGACAACCCATGTAAAATATTACCTACTAAATTCTTGCTTGCTCCCCTCCCACAAATCCTACCTCCACCTCCGGTTCTCCCCAATGACAAAAAAAACCCATGACCCAAAGAATTACATGATCCACAAAAATAGTTGAGGGGAAAATTGGAAGTTGTCATATGAGATTTTTCCATTAACATGAAAAGTCACTATGAAATTACCCATGACCCAAAGAATTACATGATCCACAAAAATAGTTGAGGGAAAATTGGAAGTTGTCATATGAGATTTTTCCATTAACATGAAAAGTCACTATGAAATATACCCATGACCCAAAGAATTACATGATCCACAAAAATAGTTGAGGGGAAAATTGGAAGTTGTCATATGAGATTTTTCCATTAACATGAAAAGTCACTATGAAATATACCCATGACCCAAAGAATTACATGATCCACAAAAATAGTTGAGGGGAAAATTGGAAGTTGTCATATGAGATTTTTCCATTAACATGAAAAGTCACTATGAAATATACCCATGACCCAAAGAATTACATGATCCACAAAAATAGTTGAGGGGAAAATTGGAAGTTGTCATATGAGATTTTTCCATTAACATGAAAAGTCACTATGAAATATACCCATGACCCAAAGAATTACATGATCCACAAAAATAGTTGAGGGGAAAATTGGAAGTTGTCATATGAGATTTTTCCATTAACATGAAAAGTCACTATGAAATATACAGATTAAGCAGAGACATTCTAGGCATCAATCACAAGGAAGAGAGAGAAACACGAAAGAAAGAAGAAGGAGAAGACTCGCCTTCATTAAGGCAGGCAATTAAAGTGCTTAATTTTGAGACTCCACTACCCAATCTGCCAGCAACAATGCCAGTCTCAACAATGCCAACAATGCAGATTGGGTAGTGGAGTCTCAAAAAAAGGTGCTTAATTTTGCTGGTAATTGAGCGATAGAATTTAACAATGTAATTTCTGTTGATAATTTAGCAACGAAATTTCTGTTGTTAATTTTTATTGTTAAATTAGCGGTGGCTGTTTTATTGACGGATTTTTTTTCGTTATTAAATATATTTAGTAATGGATTTTATTGGTTTAGTGACAAAAAATAGAGCTAAAGCTCAACCTGTGAATTTGGCTTTTTCTTATTTTTATTACACTAATTCTTTTTTATATATACATATATGCAAATGTGATAAAGATGGAGAAGAAGTAGCTGAGGAATTCATATTGTAACCATAGCTAGAAGACTAGGTTTGGCTTTGGGTGCTCTCACGAGCATTCAGTGGAGAAAGGTATGTTGAGACCGGCATTGTTGCTGGCAGATTGGGTAGTGGAGTCTCAAAATTAAGCACCTTAATTGCCTGCCTGATTGAAGGCCTCATATTATGTTCTGAGTGAGCACACCAGAGCCCAACAACAATCAAGTGCTCCATTTCTTGCTCCTCAAACTGCTCACAGAGCCTCAGGTCCACAGCTTTGATAAGCTTCCTCTCCCATATAGCTCCCACACCCACTCAACCATCCGGATCTTACTCTCCTCCATCCTTACATCAATGGGTTTTCTCCCACAGGCTATTTCAAGTGCTACTACCCCAAAACTATACACATCTGATTCTTTACTAGCTTGGCCTGTGACTGCACATTCAGGTGCCATGTACTCCATTGTTCCTACCAGAACCGTTGTTTGATACCCTTTTTCATGGTCAACAAGTCTAGCCAACCCAAAATCACCAAGTTTAGCGTTGAAGTTTGAATCTAGCATGACAATGCTTGACTTTATATCTCTATGAACCACACATTGTTCCCATTCTTCTTGTAGATAAAGCAGAGCTGAGGCTAAACCTTGTGCAATTTTATACCTAGCGGCCCAATTCAAGAGAGTTTTCTTCTCTTTAAAGAGATGGGTATCTAGACTTACATTTTCCATGAACTCATAGACAAGGAGGAGTTTTCCTGGCACCACCCAATGAGTTGCACCAAGTTCCTGTGCCTTAGGCGACTGATGATCTTTACTGTTGATGCGTACTCCTTGATCCCTTGCTTTGACCCTTTTGAGATCCTCTTCACAGCTACATAGGAGTTAAGTTCCCTTAAGAAGCCTTTATAGACCCCTCCAAAGCCACCCTCTCCTAGCTTGTATTCTTCTGCAAAATTATTAGTTGACCGAGATAGCTGATTGTAGGTGAACTTCGGTCCACTACCCCTCTCAAATTCATCATTCATGGGCATATCAAAACCAGAATTTTCCTCTTCTTTCCTCTTCTCTTCTTCCACAAGCCAAATCCAATCAAAGCCACCAAAGCCCACAATCCAAGGGCCAACCCTATTGCAAGAGCCCATTTATTCTTCTTCCCTTTGTTCTTTCCCGCAATGAAAATGGAGGAGATTCTAGGTTCCCGGTAGTGAACTGCCATGACTACACATTATTTTTCTCGAAACCAGATCCTGTTGCAGTTGAGAAACCAAACTCAACCCATTCTGGCAAGTAACTTAGATCAACTAGTAAATGGAGGCTTCTTTCAACTCTGGTATTGTTTCTAAAACCGGTGAAGATCACACTCAAGTTCTTGGAACCAGAATCATAACTTATCCAAGCCTCATTCTCTATCCCATGAGGTATATCATTATACCAAACTGCCGTAACACTAGATGTAAGAGAGTTGATATTAACACCTACATGGGTAACAGGATTAATGTTCTGAGGGTCCCAACTGTTCTGAAATGTATCAAACTCTACAGCCAAAAAAGAGCTTGTGGGAAGCCCCATGGCACCTCCACCATTTAAATTACCACCGACGGGAGCCAAGAAGAAGGCAAGACCATCTGCAAAAGATGAACTATTCATCGAATCAATTACGAAGAAGATGTGGGTGGTGAAGTTCGTGAGATTTCTAGGGGCCTTGTCCCAGAGGTGGAGAAGTTGAGAGTACACGGCCTTACCCACCTTAAGTGACTCGTTGCTGGTGACCTGGATGCCTTGGGGGCAGATATAAGCATCTTGGTTGGTTTTGATGTGCACTTTCTGGTCCTGTGGGTTTATGTTGGTGAAGTCGAAGCTTAGAGCAGAGGACAGATGAATTGTATGAAGTGAAGTATAGTGATGAAGAGGGAAAATAGCAGAAAGTTCGAAAAGAGATTGTTAATCCAAAGGCCCCGGAGTCCCATGGCTGTGAGGAAATTCAAGATCCAAGAGAGCAGAGCTTTATTTTTAAACAGGCCAAGGTTGCTGAATTGGTCTTTGGCGGGTGTTCAACAATGAGAAGTGATCTTCAGCGTGGGTGATTGTCCATCACAGAAAACTAAACTCAACGAAGAAGTAGTATTTTTAATAAATGGTTATAATAACTGAAGTTAAGTTGTGTCCTTATTTTCTACGTAATGGTATTGTCAAGTTGCGAACTAGCCCTTTCATTAATTTTTACAATTTTTTACAATTGTAAATTTTATTTTTTTCATGGAAGAAAAGATATAAAGCGTAATTCAGATTTCTAATCTAACGAAAACCTTTGAGGAGCACTTAATTAATATTAATGGTTTGTTTATTTTCAATTATAATGACAAGTTATGATTTTAAAACTCCATATTAACCCTAAGATAAGAAAAAGAAATTTGAGGAAACAATCATTTTTAAAAAGTACATAATATGAGTTCAGATCACCTCGTCATCCCGTGTCGTGTGCAATGTGAATAGGCCACTTGCAAATTATCCATTAAAAAAATAAGTAACAAACTACTTTTCAAGTTCATTTGTGATTTATTTTTCTATATTAACTGAATTAAGTAAACTAATTTATAAAAAGTAAATTAAAGAAGGTGAGTTTAAATATAATGAATTTGAAAAAAAATGGGTTTAAATAAAATAAATTCAAAGAAAATGAGTTTAGATAACATAAATTTAAATGAGTGAATTTGAAAAAAGTGAGTTTAGATAAAATAAAATTAAAAATATTGAATGTAGATACATCTATTTTATTATTTAATTGTACTTGGTGATAAAAGTAGGTTATAAATTTTTAATTATTTGCTCTTACTAATTACTGTTTTAAGAGTTCAATTAAACTTCTCGGCTTTTGAACAATTTAAAGGTGGTTTCGGACTTGGTCACGCTCAAATCCAACTTTCAAGGCCCATTTCTCCGCCTTTGCCTCTGCATGGATTCATCCTTTTTCTCATCTGATATTACGTTATTCACCAAGTCTTCGCACTCTTTCCACTTAAAGATGAATCCATCCAGAGGCAAAGGCAGACAAATTGGCCATGAAACCACCGTAGCCGTATTAGGTGGAATCCATCCAGAGGCAACGGCAGACAAATGGGCCCTGAAACCACTGTAGCCGTGTTAAGTAAAATGAGTGGGAAGACTTGGTGAATGATGTAATACAAATTTGAACAAGTCAAATTGAATGAAAATTATTAAAAATATATCAAAATAAGAGAAAATTCTTTTGGATTTTGTTGAAAATAAAATGATAACATGTTTGTAAAGAGCTGTTGCAATTACAAAAAAAAAAAATAAATTTGAAAAAAATGAAAAAGGAAGTTGAATATTATAAAAGTGTCTAAAAACTCACTATAAAAATATAAATTTTATATAAATAAAAGGTTTCGCTTGTATATTAAAATCATTTTCTTAAAATTATTTATTATGACAGGCTTTTTTGGATGTTTAAAAGCCAATTAATGATGAACCATTTATGCAAAGGGGTCAATTCAACAAGAATCAATTTTCAAAAGGAAGTCTATTCGATTAGAGCTGACTTCCTTTTGTGTCTTCCTTTTAAAAGAAAAATAAACCTAAAGAAGAGAGGTTTAGTGACGCGAAGGGATGGCAATTTTTACTCAATCTGAGCCGGGTATGGATGGCACTTTTTTTTTTCTTTTTCTTTTGTGGTGTTTTGGTGCTACGAGTATAAGAATGGTAAGTTTATTCAAACATATTAAATACCCGTAAATTTTATTCAATCTGAATCAAGTATAGATACCACAAAATAATAATAGCCATGGGTTTAGAAATTTTTATGATAATTTTTCTAAGAGTGTGTGTGTGTGTGTGTGTGTGTGTAAGAATTATTGTAATACCCCTAATTTTGGAGCTAATTAAAAAAAAATAAGAAATTGAAAGCTTAAATTGAGAGAAATTTAAGTTCTGGGACATAATTAAAAGAATAAGGGACTTAATTGAATAAATTTAAACTTTCTGGGGTCAAACAAAAATAATGGGAGTTGACAGGGACTAGATTGCACTTAACCAATAATCTAAGGACCAAATTGAAAATAATCAAAAATTAGATTTGGGTTTATCTTTAAGATCCGAATCCTACACGACTTTGACAATCAAATTGAAGGATTATCCTTAGCATAATCGGTCAATTGAGTCTATAAATATAACCAACAGCTTGCAGAGAATAAAAACCCTTCAAATAATTTGAAGAAAAATAGCCCTTAGCCACTGCACTTTGGCAGTTTTTGTTTCGCCAACCGTCCACCATAGCTGAAGCTTTCAAGCTTAATTTTGGCCAATTAAGCTACTTAAAAGCCAAATTTCTAGAAGCTATCTGAGTCGCTTGTTCATCCCGAGTGTAGATCTATAAGCAATTTGATGAACTTTGATGTAAAATTCTTGAATTTTGTTGAAAGGGGAATCGAGATTTGTTGCAGGAATTGGGTCTCGAAGACAAACTTGGTTGATAATTCGGGTTTGCCATGACAATTTTCTTGAAATTGGGCTGGGTTTTTCTCAATTGGGCCATGGCCATATTGGGTCGACCCTTGATCAATTGAGTTGAGGGCCTAGTTATTGGACATGGCCAAATGGGTTGGACCGAGTAGGCTATCTAGGTATGAGTTTCAAATACGGATCAAGATCTTGGATCTAGATTAGAAAATAAATAAATAAATAAATAAGAAAATTGGAAAACCAGTCAGATCAAGGAGTTTACTACTGGTTCACTTCTAGTTTAAGGCATAATAGGTTAGTTTAACAACTAAACCAACCGGTTTAATGGTGGTTTAGGATTAATACATTTGGTTTAAACCTTAAAACATTGAATTAGGGTTTCTAATCACCGGTTCAATGACATAATTGACTGGTTTAGTGAATTAAAGACCAATTTTGAATGTTTTATACTTGATTCAACGGATTTCAGTCTAGTTCTATACATAAAGAAAGATAGTTCAGTGTATAAACAATCGGTGCAATGCATAACAAGCCAGCTTAAGGCTGGTTTAGTGCTTCATAAGCCAGTTCAAAGACAATTTAGCCTTTTAATCGCCAGTTCATGGCTAGTTCAACCTTCTAATGGCTGGCTCATGATCGATTCAAGACTTTATTGAAGGTTTTAAGATTTAACGAACTAGTTTTATGTTTTATGAGATCGATTCAAAACTTTAGTACCCGGATCATGACTTTTTAACCAATTTGAGACTTTAGTAGCCTAGATATGGGATCAAGCACGAAAATTGTAACACCTTAGGCGAATCTCATATTAACAAAACATAGGAAGGATACTTGGCTTATAAGTATAGATGCCTTAACCTGGGTAGACGCATTTTAAGACCGTGCGGGTCTTGGCCCAAAGTGGACAATATTTACTAGTGAGCTAGGCTGTGACAAAAATTTAGAATGTTACTCGAGTTTTTAATGAGAGAATTATAATTATTTAATTCTTAGATGCATTAGAAATTTAAAATAAGATATTTTATTATTATTATGATTTTAGATTATTTATACAGTTCTTAGTGAACCCATGTCATTGAAGATTGAATTTCTTGATTTCCGTCAGTTCTATGAGTAATAATATGCATTTATAAGTATTTACTATTTTCCATATTTGTTATAAAATTCTGATTTTATATGATAAACTTGATTTTTGAAAAACTAAATTAAATTTTGTTGTAAAAGCATAATAAGGGACATGTATATAATTTTTAAAATTGTTTTGGAAAAATTATCTATTACTTACGTTTGATTTTGTTTATATTTGTAAATGACAAATTCTGTTACACTATTTATATTTATTTCTGGAAAAATATTTAAAAGAAGTTTCAAATTTTTAGAATATTGTAACTAACAATAGTAGGCGTTAAACTGAGTATATTTTGATCTATATTCCCAACTAGTAATGGTGGTGTTAGACTCTCATAGAATGCCAACATGGGAGACCTGTATATTTGATTTATGATAGACTAAGATGTTGCTACTTGATTTATGGCAGACTAAGTGTCGCCGTCCTAATTTCTGATTTTTGTTACATTTTGGATTTCAGACTCCCTGAAATTTGGATAATGGATAAAATCTATGTTCTATAAAATATCTGCTATATCTGTATATATGTCCTTTATTCTCATAAATACATACTAGTATTTACTGAATCTGTTGACTCATCTCTTATTAATTTTTTCAGATTCAAAACTTGATATTCATTTACATCCTACTGCGTGAGAGGAGTCCATTGCCTTACTGTCTTTCTATCTTGATTATATAAGTTAGTTATTTGATTTTTAGTTTTCAATTAGACTTTTATATTCTTGGGTTTTCTTTAGTTGGTTTTATTTAATTACAAACAGGATTTTTGCTAATGTATAGATTATTTAGATAAGATTTAAATTTAAATTTTGTTTCTGATTTTATATAATATTTTGGTTTAATTAATTTTGAGTTATCTATTACGCTTGCATGGTTAAAATTTATTCTAATCATAACGTCGGTCACAGAGCCAATTTCCTGAGTGATGACAATTATATATTAAAAAATATATTTAGTAATGATAAAAATATATTAATTTTTAAAAAAGAATAAATTATGTTCAAACATACGTATATATGAGTATAAGAATGAGTATAATATTATTTAACAAAGATAAAAGTAAGAATTAATATTAATACTCAATCCCATAATGAACATAAATGAGACATGGTGTAGAAAACCAAACCAAACCGGTCACACCAATCAAACCGTCGACCGGTTATATTATTAGTCTGATTCTTGCTAAAAACTAGTATAAGTAAGAAAACTGTTATATTTTTTTTAAAACTATTCAAATCGGCGATTGGACTACTTAGACTGGTGAACCGACCGTAGTTTAGTACAAACCAAATTTTTTTCAAAAATTGTCAAAGTAGTGCATGAGTAATAAATTAAACCTATGCCCATTGCACAAAATAGTGACTACTTATCATTAAACCACTGTCACTTCGGTGTAATATTTTTATTTGTTAAAATATATATTAGCAATTTATTTTAAATTAACTTGTTCTAATTTCGTTATATAATGAATGATTCACATCTTTCCTACAATTTTAAATTTAAAAGTGTAATATAAAACATCAAATTAAAATCATTTATATTAAATTTAATTTTCTATAATTAACATTTGATTAAAAAATAAAGAAGACGTAAATTTGAGTCCTTATACTAAATTTCAAAAAATAAATATAACTAATTTAATTATTTTTAATTTTGTATCTTATTTTTATTTTTATAATTATTTGATATTATTCTTTATTTTTGGTCAATTTATAACTATGTGAAAGAAGTTATGATTTATAAACTTTTTTTAGGATAATTGTGAATATAAACAATTATAATTTAATTTTTTATATTTATTTTGAATGATAGACTCATGGTTTGTTATTTTTATTTCATATACACTATAATAATTGAACCATAATTATTAATTAATATTATTACAGGTAATTAATAAAATTGACTCTTTAATTTTTTTAGTATAAATATAAATATAAATATAATATTATGATTTAATTATAATTTAATTACAGTATAATTAACAGTTAAAATAGTGAATCATGAGCTATTAACATTTTCAGATCAATAAAGAGTCTGATTTTACAAATCTTGATACGAGTACAAATTTCCTAGCCGAGTACCAATACATGTACGTTGGTACTGGTGGCATGCCAATCCCGTCTGTGATCGCTAGCTGTAGGTTGTCCAGCGGTCCAGGGTGTTGGGTCGATCCTCCGTGGGCCTTCGTCTTCGTTGGACTGTTTTAGGTTCAGTTTATTAGTGTCAGTTTTCGTATGGACAAGATTTTGCTAGGCCCTCCTTCCCTAGTTATTGGCGGACAGCCTCAGTTAATTCATTCGTGCTTTGGGGTGTATAGCCCAGAGCTACATTGTGCATAGTCGTCGGGTGTTCTTGGTCGTGGTGCTAAATCCGTTGGGGACAGTGATTCTCAATTATACAGGCTTTGGGTCTCACATTGATACAGAAATGAACTTTTGCTTTCAAAAAACAAAAGGAAAGTGTATCCTTCTTATAAAAAACTTTATTACTTTTTAACTTGTGACAACTTTAAATAATACAAACTACAAAACACCAACAATTTTTGTTTTGGTTTCTGAACCAAAATAAATTAATCTTTTTTACAATCTTAGCCATGTACAGCGTGCAAGGAACATGGCCAAAATCTTAAAATATACACCCTACGGAAATCAAAATTCAGAACCAGAAGTTCAACAAATCAGTCTGTCTTAAAGCAAAGTCCTCGACGAGGAAGAAGAAGGGGCCAAAGGGGATCCAGAGAGGATGGATGAATGACTGTTGTGACTATTGTTACTTTCAGAAGCACAAGTAGATCTAGCCATAAAAGGATCCATGAACGTCGCCACCGGCATCTCCGACGGCAGGACAGGCAGAGCAGCCTCAAATTCAAGAACTTGAATCACTTGCTTCATAGAAGGCCGGAGCTTGTTGTCAGGATGAGCACACCAGAGTCCTACCACCATCAATCTCTCCATTTCTTGCTCCACAAACTCCGATCCCAGCTTGGGGTCGGAAGCTTCAAGAAGTTTCGTCATTCCATAGAGCCCCCAAACCCACTCCACCAAATTAATCTGGTTCTCTGGTAACTTGTGGTTGATGGGTTTTCTTCCACATGCGATTTCCAACGCCACCACGCCGAAACTGAATATGTCTGTTTCCTTGCTAGCCTTACCTGTTAATTTTAGGACGATAATGGGGCTTATGTTAACACAATGCTAAAACGAAACAAATTTATGGATAAAATACAAATATAATAGCTCACAAATCGAACAACTAAAAGACACGAATTCTCATTCTTACCGGTTATGCAAGACTCAGGAGCCATGTAGCCCATGGTTCCTGCCAAATTCGTGGTTTGAGATCCTTTCTCATGATCGACGAGCCTGGCCAGCCCAAAGTCTCCTAGCTTAGCATTGAAGTTCAAATCCAACAAAACATTACTAGTCTTAATATCTCTATGTACCACACAAAGCTCCCATTCTTCATGCAGATACAGTAAGGCAGATGCCAACCCTTGAACAATTTTGTACCTTGTGGCCCAAGGCAACAACAATTTGTCCCTGTACAGATGAGAATCCAAGCTTCCATTGGGCATAAATTCATAAACAAGCAAAAGCTCTCTCTTCTCATGGCACCATCCCATGAGCTGAACTAAGTTTCTGTGCCTCAAGCTGCTTATAATTTTCACTTCCGACGCATACTCCGTCGTCCCCTGTTTCGAGCCCCTTGAAATTCTCTTCACGGCCACTCGAGTATTCAATTCTTTCAGAAAACCTTTATAAACTCCCCCAAATCCTCCCTCTCCAAGCTTGTTTTCTTCTGAAAAATTGGTCGTTGCGCGAGCCAACACATTGTACTTGAATTTTCTCGGTCCGGTTCCTCTTTCGAGCTCTTCCTCCATTCCTATGTCAATCTCGTGCCCATCTTTGTGTCTTCGTTTCCTGTTCCGAAGTAAAATCACGAACAGTATAAAACCCAACCCGCAGGCCACACCCGCTCCAACGCCCAGCCAAACTGCCAATCCCACTGGGAATTTCTTCGGGTTCAGCAGAGTCGAACTGAAACTCCACGATTCGACCACCTGAACCGCGTAGCTAGATCCGGTTGTCGCCGCAAATCCGAACGTGACCCATTCGGGCAAATACTCTCTCAAATCTACCACGTAGGAGAGCCCTTGTAATACCCTGCTGTTGTTCGTAAAGCCCGTGAAGACGACGCTCAGGTTCTTCGACCCGGAATCGTATCGAATCCAAGCTTCATTCGTCTTCCCGTCCTTCACGCTGCTCCACCATGAGATGTTATTAACAGATCTGATCGACATGACATCGATACCCACATGGGTCCCATTAGGGTCGTAATCGTTCTGGTAGATATCGAACTCGACGGCGACAAAGGGATGGTCTGTGGAGTTAAACGCCTCGTCGTCGGTGGTGAGCCCAAACCGGCCGGCTCGGGTCACGCCAGCTGGGATACGGGACCCGGCCGGGGCGAGGAAAAAGGCCAGGCCGTCGCCGTAGTTAGACCGGTTTTGAGAGTAGATGACGAAGGAGAAGTTGGTGGTGAAGCTGGTGAGGTCGCCGGAAGACTTGTCCCAGAGGCGGAGCGGGTCGGCATATGTGGCTCGGCTGATGGTGTCGCTGCTGGTAGTCAGCTTGATGGCATGGCTCACGTCATAGACGGCCGCCGCTCCCTCAAAGCTGATGCGGTTATCGCCGGCGGTGAAGCTGGTGAAGTTGAAGGACAGCGCCGCCACGTAAGGGAGGAGGAGGAGAAAGGTGGTTAGGAAGAGATTCATTGCGTCGTGGAGGAAAGAATTATTTGGGACTTGGTTGCCCAGAAAGAGAGATTAACCTTTTAATTTGACATGAACAGAGTCGAAACCTCGAGTGAAAATGCTGAACAATAATCCGGTCCCGTGAACCGACAGATGATCAATTGAAGTAAGTCAAAAACGCAGGGTTTAAATAATAATTTTAATAATACACTGGTTTGCAAATACAGTGATAAATAAACCATAAATTTGCGCCCAGACGCGGCTGCTGTAAGTCTGTCACAATAGCAGGGCTTTGCATGCATCCATGTCAAGTTGCGTTTTTGATTTTAGCAGAATGGTACATGTCAAGATGATGATGCCCAGCCCTTTTATTAAATTTATGCCCTTTTTATTTTATATTACTTTTGTGGTCCTTAAGCAGCCAATGCGCAAAAGTCTCCGCCGTCAAGCTGCCAACTTGGCCCTTAACTGACCTTTTCCTTTACTTTTTTTCTTTTTTAATTTCTAAAGCAAGCTCTCTCTCTCTCTCTCTCTCTCTCTCTCTCTCTCACACGCAGACACATCTATTTTCGTTCGATGTTCCAAAAAATATTATTTTAACAATATATATTATGTATTAATCATTTAGAATATCATTCATTATCCATAAGACTGGCATTTTTCAATCTAAAATTTTCTTTCTGAAACCAGAATTAGATTAAAATTTATTGTGTTCCATTATTTTATACTTCAAAATATTTGTCCGGCTATTTGCATTAAGTTTAAATGCCCATATGCTACCTTTTTTAGATGAAATTTGTTATAGATTTTTTTTCACTGTTTTATTCAAAAGGTCAAAAATAGCATTTACCTTTATTAGAATAAACACATTTCTCTATAAATCCAAAATCAACCTAATGATTATATAATTTATGTTGATTATTTGATTCTTCAAAAGAATTAAAATTAACATGAGAATTTCATAATAGCTTTTAAAAAGTAAAAAACTAGATAAAAGTAAATCGAACAAACACAATAAATTAAATTTTAGTCCAATTCTCACGTCAGGAGAAAATGTTATGCAACCTAACTAGAATACAGGGAAGGCTGAGCCTTTTAACCTAACGAGCCCTTTAATTAAATTTATTCTTTAAAAAAAATTATAGTACTCTTTTTGGCCTTGAGCAGCCATTGTGGAAGTCTCCGTCGTCATGTTGTCAACTTGGCCCTTAATTTTTCCTTTACTTTCTTTTTGTCTTTGTTTAGGAAGCAAGCATTCTCCCTCGCTCTCTCTCTTATTCCAAAAACTATTATTTTAACAAATATTATATATATATATATCTATATATATATATTACTAAATTTAAAATATCAATCACCAACCCATAAAATTGTAATTTTTTAATGTAAATTCGTACCATTTAATATGTACCCAATAGTATGTCAGTGCCCTTGGCGTGCTTTAACGTTCATATTTTTGTATAAGATATAGCAACATGCCTTTTTTCTATTATTATTATTATTGTTTTTTTTTTTTTTGGACAAACAAGGGGCGGATGACTCAAATTGAACAAACCGGTCAAATGTCTGTCCTGATTACGTGTTAACGAGTGCATTTTGACGATTATATATATATATATATATATATATATATGAGTATAGAAGGGAAGAAACAAGATAAGGCAACGTTCAAATTTCAAATCTGACGTAAACCTTTTGAGGGACTTAAGCGTGTGGCACGTGGATAGTTTGATGAAGTAAACCCAATTGGAATGTATAGGCACATATTAGTACGCATTTCCTTGAAGGGAAGAAACAAATTCCCAACCAAGCGATCGAACTGTGAAGGCGCCTCCTTTCCTTGGCAAAAGCAATTTTACTCTCAAGAAAATCTAGTAATTCTGAATTTTTATACCGGCGAGCATATTACAGCAAAGGGGGCTTTCGGTAGGCATGTAAAGGGTTAATAAGATAAGTTTTACTAGGTGTTACACGCATTCGGTATGCGTGTAACGGAATTGGATATAGAAACATATCCATATTCGGCAGATAACATATCTCACAAAAACGGGGGAATAAAATTTATTCCCCCTGATAACTGTATTACGTTGGACGGCAATACCCCTATTCTCCTGCATCACTGTGACATCAGAGTCGGGGCAGATGACGGGCTGGAGGACGATGACGGCTGGAAGGACGACAACGCGGCTTGAAGGATGAGACCATCTTATGGGTGGAGGATGACCCATTTCCCTCCATCGTCCGATCCAAAACGACAACCCATCTCCATCCTTCGTCCGATCCAAAGCAATTCTGCTTCTAGATTGTTTCTTTTTTTTTTTAACCCGATCTGCGTTTTTATTTTAAACCTGGATCTGAGTTTGTTTTTTTTCAAACTCGGATCTATTTTTTTTTTAACTCATAAAAGAGTATTTTAGTAAATTCTCACTTTTATCCTACATTTCAAAAATTTTATCTTATTTATTATTTATTAAACTAAATATATGATAAAATTTATCTATCTTATAAAATTATCCAATTATATTTTTAACATCCCGTATCTTATCCCTTGTTCAAACGCTTCCAAAGTTGAAAGTTGAAAGGAGGAAATAACCATACGACCAAGCGTACTCCCCTTTTGCGGGGCCACGACGCAGCCCGGACGTACCCGTCCCTGGCGCTTATCCTTGTTCCAATTATATTTTCAAAAAGCAACGACGGCATTTTGAATGTAGTAGGTTGTGTTTGCTTTGAAGTTTAAATTAGGACAAGGACAGGCCCAATCCTCTCAGGGGTCCAAAACCGAAGTTAAGTTCTCACAATTTTTTTTTTCCCAGGAATTTACATTTAGATGGTTATTTTTGAGGAATTAGGTGGTTGCATTGATTGCTTAAATGTTATGAATTTTTAGAAAACGGAAAGAATTCGTTTTTCAACTATTTATTAATTTAAGAGTAAAAAAATAATTTTATTTAAAAAACCTCCGATTTCTAAATTTTAAATTTTTCTAATACGAGAAATTGAGAATAGTTTGTTTAGTATAATAAGTAGTGGTACATTTTTATTTGCCTCAGATTGAAAACCATGTGCGGAGGCATCAACTTCACCTCATCAAACCATTGCTATTCTTTTATCAGGGTTGTCAATTGAGACGCGGTTACTCACTTTTTTCTTTGGATTTTTCTCTTTTTTCTAAATATAAATTTTGTAAATATCCAAAGTTCACATAACTTTATTTATACTCACAAGCTCACTACCTTATTTTCCTTTTGGATATAAGAACTATCAATTATCTAATTTGATAAATGGAAAAATCTAATTAATTATTCAATTAATTGTTTTATTAATTATGTTCTTAATTGCTTACTCAATTTTTACATTTCTTAATCAACCACATCCCCAATTGACCTATAAATTTAAGAAAAGGAAAACATACAGAGAAATAAAGAAGAAAAATATAAACGGGGGGATTATGGTAAAAGAAAGTACTACAACCACATAATATGTAAGCATACAAAAACAAGTTAGCTAAAACCTTTTTATAGACTACGCTAGCACTTCAATGTCTTCATTTGAAGGTTAGTGAAATAAAATTTTTATTAGAAATTCAAAAATTATAACTTTTCAAAATATTGTAAATGTTTTTTAAAGGAATAAGTCATTGGTGAAATAAAAAAAATAGTTTTTAAATAAATATTATTTTTTACAGAATCTTTTCATTGGAAAATAAAAATAGAAAATAAAGTCTTACTCAATATATATTTCCAACAAAATATCTTCATTGGAAAAATAAAATTTTATTTAATACATATTTCTGATGGAAATATTTGCCAGAAATAAGTTTTCTATTTTATTCTTATGCATTTGAAATTTATATTTATTTTAAATAAAATTTTCAAAATTTTAAATTCATAATATAAATTAATCCTAATCCAATTTCCTATTTTTGGGCCAAATTATTTTAGAACTCAAGTCTATTGGCCCTATTTGGGCCAAGGAATGGCCTACATTATTTTATTAAATTGAGATTCTTAATTATAAGAAATAATTTTATAAATCATAACATTTGCAATTTTATTATATAATAAGGTATAATTCTAGAAATTTATTACAGTAATTAGAAACTAATAATAATTGTGCAATAATTAATGAACAAATCATAACCTATAACCTTCTCATATAATAATTGTAATTGTTATACTTATTTGAAATTAAGAATAATAATTTAATAATAACTTCCGAATAAATGTAACTTATAACTTTATCATAAATAACTAATAATGTTATTTTTTAATGTCATTTATTTGAAATTTATAATTATTTTCTATTATTTGTTTTGAAATTTAAATTTGATATTATAACAAAAGCCAAACCCACAACGAAATTAATATAGTTGAATATTTGTTAGTTTTTATAGTATTATTGTTACTAATTTCTAATTAGTATGATCAATTTGTTGAATATTAAAAGTTATAACCTATTATTAATTTCTAATTATTATAATCAATTGATGATATGATCTATTTATTAGTTATTATAGAATGATTATAGTTAATTTGTAATTTTTATGAATTGTAAGTTATTATATAATAAAATTATAAGTTATAGTTTATTTGTTAGTTATTATATAACTAATATAACTAATTTGTTATGACTATATATTGATCAACTTTATCACATAATAACTTATAATAATATATATTAATATAACAATATTTGTAATACCCAAAATTTTGGGGTGTTTTTAGAAATTTAAATCTTAAGGGGCTAAATTGAAACAATTAAAACTATAGAGGGTTCGAATAAAATTAAGAAAAGGTAAGGGATCGAATTTAACAAAATAAGGAGTCCAGGGACCCAATAGCAATTATCCCTAAATGAAAATCTAGATTCTGCCCCAAAATTGCACATCCAGAATCACCGAGACAATCCAACCAAATCTTCTAAGATTATGCTAAGTTATTCCAAATTAAGCATATATCCTCACTGATATGAACGATGATAACGTAATCCCTCAACCAATTTTAATCAATCAACTCTAA